TATATATATATATATATATATATATATATATGGAAGGAAGGAGGACAGGTGTGTATTTGTGGAGGTTGATTAGTTTGTACCCAGAGCATGTCCACAGCTGCGGCACGGCTCGCTCAGACTGGCTGCTTGCTGTTGCAGGTCCATACGTGTGGCTGACGGTGGATTTGGGTTTTTCCATCCATTGCACTTGCATGTGTCACTAGCCTGAGAAAAGGCAAAATATGCTGAACACACAATAAAACGGCTTACACAGTAACTTGCTGGTGTTCTTGTACGTCAATGAATGACTAAACGGTTACGTTAAGCTAGCTGATGCTTCAAAGAACCAACGTTAATGTGAATTACACAAACGGTCTACCTAGCTAGCTAGCTACAAAAGTTAACAATTACGACACGTCATTACGCTATCGTTTATGTTCTTGTTTGCGGTGCCTTGACTGCGCTACAGTTCGCTCCCCCTCCTCCATTAATGCTAATACTGCCCGAGGAGTGCTTTGTTGTGGTGAACTTTGGCTAGCTAAGCTAGCTACCTTGCATGCGGAGAATACGCCAAGTTTCTCGAGCTTTTTCGCCCGTGGGAAAGCTCGGACTTGGGCTTTCTTCTGGCTTGCACGTTGCTGCTGGCTAAGTCCCGGTCTCGCCGGGTCACTGTTTCCTGACCCGGAGCCTGTCGCGGCGGTACTGGACCCAGCTGACCCAGCGGTCTGAGCTTGGAGAAGTCGGGGTTGCAAGGCCTGCGCCGCCGGGTCCGACATGTCCACGCGCTAGACTCGTCCTCTGCTCTCGTTTACCTCACATGCTGCGTTCAAGCGCTGTCGGTAAAATGAGATTTACGAGAACCACAGCAATGTTTAGAATTTCAAATTCCCTTTTTGAGATCTTCTCATAAAAAATAAAGGCGTTAAGAACACAAATCAAGAATAGAAGTAATGCAAACACTTCAATTTACAATGGAAGCAGACTTTTCGACACAGTATCAACCTTTCAAAGTATAAATATATCACCAATATTTGTTGCTTCAACGTCACAACATTACGTACCCACACCGGAAGAGGCCTCAAATCATCCATGTACCACAATATTCCGGTAATCACTGATACTATTTGCGCCTCTGACTAATTTGAATGTATTATTCTGAATGTCTCCAACGGAAGTTATAGTATGCTTTAATGTCTGACTTTATACTTGTGTAGTTGGTGGTTGTCTTTAGCGCCCCCAGTGGTCACAGTGCGTCACTACACCTCTGACCATATTTAAAGGCGTTCACCAGTAAAATGAAGGCGTTTAAAAGTCGCCGTTAAGTGGAGATGAGTTACACGCGAGTCTATTTAAAATCATGAGTGTTCACTGCCCTCCAGTGGTCGTTGTTATGAACTACAACACCGTAAATTGGTAAAGTTGACGGGAATGCAAATAAAATACCATACTATCACTTCCGGTTATTTGTTTTCATAAGGTAAATGATAAATTATTTGTTTATCCATTCAGTTGTTACCGTTCCAGTAAGAAGATGAATAGTTATCTTTATCAATATTCTTTAGACGCATCAATAAGGGTGGTATGTCTTGTTAGTACCGCATATCGGCAATGTTTATTTTGTTATCAAACATTATGAAGCTCTACTCCATGTAATAGATTACAATAAACAGCCGTGATGCTTCCTACTAGACGACAGAATATTAGGAATACTGCAGTCTCCTGCTCTATATTATTTCTAAATATTTTGCAGAGGAAACCTAACTATAAGTGTCAGCACATCTGGCTTAGACTCGGTGGATGGAGAAAGGTTGCAGCACTTGAAGGCACCACGCCTCATCTGTGGTGATCATGGGTAGTGTTTGTGAACAAGTATTACAAGTCAGATTTACAAATATGTAGAAATTATTCAATTCTAATTATATACATTTTAGATTAGGAATTTCTTTCATATTGGCCTTTTGTATTTTTTGGTCGCGGCGCTATGATGGTTTAAAATAATCCCAGTCAACAATATTTGGACATCAAAAAATGATCGAACAAGCATACAGAAAAGATACGTTCCCCTTGTTTATTGGTAAAATTACATTGTTTTCTTCTTCATCTACCCATGACCCCACCCTCCCACCTAACAGCAGTGGCTGCTGTGCTAGTTGTCGATGTCATAACATGATGTCATTACAGGTGAAAGCAATCCCTCCCCCCCCCCGATATGAAGAGTAAAAACAAGAGAGAGAAAAAAGGAAAGGAAGCCGACGACAACGTCTCGATTCACACAGATGAGACACAACCAGTGCATTTAATACCATAGATCTTCAGAAAGAAAAGAAATTAAGAGAGAAAAAAAACAACCAATCCATCACAAAATACTTAAGGTTGACAAAACATCATGTAGAGATCGGGAAGATAATGTTTGACAGTAACTACTGATTGATTATAAACTTGAAAAGGCTGATACAAATACAGCAACGTTTGTCAACACACAGCTGGGATTTTGGTCAAGAAAAACTTGTGTTATGCATCTTGTCATTGTACAATGATTCAAAAACATTACATTAATGCTAAAATTACTTATGAGTGACGATGTTATTAAAGTACTATTTACTGTGTATGGTTTGATAACATAGACGGGCGATTGCAGAACCTTAAAGGCTTTAAAATCATGTTGAACAGCCTGCGTCAAGAGAAGTAGTAATAATAATAATAGTGATAACAATAACGATGTAATAATTCACTCTACCAAGAAGGAAACATCTGTCTGTTCCCGTTCTCCTGTGACGAACCTTCCCTCTCCGTCTACTGCTGCGTGCAGCTGGAGCTTTAAACAGTGTCACACGACCATGATGGAAATACTTCATACGTTTACGGTGCATGAGAAAGCAGGGGACAGAAGAGAGGGGGCGGGGCCAATCAGCCCGTTTATAGCAATTCCTGTTGCTTTCATTTTTTTCCCTCTACACAAATACAGAAAAAAAAAAATCGATGAGCAAGAAGGCCGTTTAAAGAGCCATTGGTAATGACGGATGTTGTTTTTTTCCTTCATCCATGAATGGGACGTTTTTTTCTCCCTCCTAAGGTGACGTCAAGTGTCCATCATCAGTAGCGAGGTCCTGGATTGGTCCTGGGGTTCGAATAGGATTGTGTAAATAAGCCGGTGGGTCGGTTCACCTGGCAGTTCACTGGCCAGTGGACTCGTTTGCCGAACAGTTAATTGGTGGCGCGTTGCTCGTAGGGTGGTTGGTCCGACCATGGATCGGTTGGACCGATGGGACATTGTTTGACAGCTGGCGAATATCTGGTCTGGTTGATCGAGGCTGAGGATTGTTCGGATCAGCTGACTCGTTAGTTCCCGCCCCCGCAGCAATGGCCGCTCCTGCCCTGCGGTGCGGCCTCCTGCAGGTCCACGCCGCCTCGGGTTCGTCCGCCGGCGCCCGGTCCACCCTGAGGCTCGTTCTTAGGGAGCTTCTTGGCTGTTTGGAGAACAACAAATTATTTACTGCGCTATGGCGACAATTGACCATTTTCATTATTGATTATTCGGGCCAATGTTTTCTCGATCGTTTTGTCAATAAAACATCAGGAAATATGGAAACTATCTTCCTAAAGTCCGAGGTGACGTCAAACGTCTTGTTGCGTTTGACCCCGAGTCCAAAACACGAAAGATATTTAATTTACTGTAAAGCTCGAGAAGAAAAAGCAGAAAATTCTTTTACTTTAACAGAGCTGAAACCTTTAACATAAAATGAATCGCTAACTATTTTGATAATCAAGTAATCATTTAAATCTTTCATGATGCGTTGGCATTTGTGCTTCCTGACGGGGATTGGCAGTGTTTACGAGCACCAGAGTCCATTTAGAAAACATCTCTTTGTACTGCAGCAGGGAAATGTTCCTCACAGTAACTTTAAGTAAACAAACATTCTCCGGCTCTGGGAAATTATATTCCCAAATATTTAAAGTGATTAATCCAAAAAAAAATAAATAAAAGATTGGCAGATGAATTGATTAGTTGCAGCCCTGGAGTCTAACACTATCAAGATAGTCACCGATCTGTGTTCTGTTGATGAGAGCAGTGAAATGCGTGGAGCGCTCACCTATGGCCATAAAGATCTCGTTGACATTCATCGCAGTCTTGGCTGAAGTTTCCATGAAGAGCAAGCTGTTGTCATCTGCATATCCCTGCGCTTCCTAAAGATACAACACAGAAACAAACACATTTGGAGCTTATTTTCATTCAGAAATGTCATTAAAAGGATTGTGGACTTCAGCATCAGACAGCATCTTTACCTGGAAGTCTATGGCTCTCTTGTTGGCCAGGTCTGCTTTGTTTCCTGCCAGGGCAATAACAATATTTGGGCTGGCTTGCCGCTGGAGCTCCTTCACCCAGTTCTTTGCACGTGTGAATGTATCCTTAAAAAAAAAAAAAAAAAAAAGTGCATAAACATGAGATAAAGTGCTTTTCAACTGTAAATCCCTGATGTACGTTTTACGGGAGAGTTCAGACCAAAGGTCTGTTGAATGAAACAATCATCGACCCAAACCGGAAGACACGGGTCCAGCCTACAGGTGACACGAGGCCGGCAGAGTCCACATGACTTACTGTGTTGGTGATGTCGTAGACCACGATGGCGGCCTGGGCTCCCCTGTAGTACATGGGAGCCAGGCTGTGATACCGCTCCTGTCCCGCAGTGTCCCAGATCTCAAACTTCACCGTTGTATCGTCCAAACATACCGTCTGGGTGAGGAAGGCAGCTGGAGAGAACAAGAGTACGTATTAGAACGAACATCAGAGCAGAAAATCATCATTTGTGAAGTTAAAATGTTCTGTGGCACATCACCAGGAGGCACTGCTGCTTACAACCCGCTTACTCAGCAGGCCGTCACACGACGGAGGACACCGAGCACTCGCACGCACAGAGTTTAAAGCTTTGTAATCTTTGACCAGGCGTTCAGCTGACCACACGGTTCTGTAGTATAGGAAACATGCCGACTCGGCGAGATTGAAAGCACCGAGCATCCTGTTCCCACATCCTACAGACGCATTACTCACAACATGTAGGAGACAGTGTTAAACTAAAAGATCTGATGCTATTTAATATGTTATTGTCTTCATAGAATTACACACAGGATAGCAGCTAAAGTCTACGTGTAGCGCTGAAACAAGTCGTCAAATAATAGACAGGAAATGAATCGCCTCACTCTCATATTTCCAATATTTTGCCAAATTTACAGACGTGTGCCGCATGATGGTTTTATGACACGCACGCGGACGCGCACGCGCGCACACTTCTGTAGCCCTCAAGCTGTAATCAGCATAATGTAGAAACACGTTTAACACCAACACTTAAAGCTACAGACTGAACATTCTTGCTCTCTTTCAGCAGCTTCACTGATCTGCAGGAGGTCCAGGAAATCACCATTGTTGGCTCAATTCCTTCCTGTTTCAAGTAACCTCACTCCTCCAGCTGCCTAAAGACTGAAGAGGACACTCTGGTCATGTTCGGTCCTTTCTCAGCTCTTTGTCATCAACAGATATTTTCAAAATGTAATTCATTCCTGCAAAAACATGCGTGCAAAGAACCGGTTCTGCCGTTCCTTCTCCTGCACAAGCTTAAGACCGACAAGCGGGTCATCAGTTCCTCTGGACCGCAGAGACACGTTTTTATACCAACTGACGTGCTGAAAATATGTTGGAGCGAGTAACACGTGACAAGAAGACACGATCCACAGTTATGGGACTCGGACACGGACGCCTCACCTCCAATGGTGCTCTCCTGGTACTCGTGGAACTGGCCCTTGACGAAGCGCAGCACCAAGCTGGACTTCCCCACTGCCGACTCCCCCAGCAGCACCAGCTTGAACTGGCAGATCTTGTTGCTCGCCGCGGTGCCGTTGGTGCGCGCCGGTCCGCCTCGCCCTGCCATCGCGCAGTGTGGAGATTCGGGAGGGAGAAGAAGAAGAAGAAACCGGGAGGGAGTCTGGTTGACTTTAGGCCCCGGGTCTTGGTCCCGGAGCGGGTGGGGGGGCGGTGAGGGGAGGGGAGGGAGGGGGGGCACGTTGAGTTCAGGCAGGTAGATGAGCCAGAGGAAGAGGAGACCTCACTGGTGGGAGCTGGAAAACACAACACATCGTTTAGGATGTTACGCTTCATTTCAAACGACCACAACAGAAGAATATTGAGGTAGTTCATGATTAGTATAGTTGTTACGAGCTGGCAGCCGCCTGAAGAGTAAAGAGTCGCGTTAACTACAGTGTTTCTGTTAAATACGTCTGCACTAAAACTTTAGTTTGAGCCAAGATTACAACAACAGACACGTTGACACAGAAACATGCGTCCCACTGGGCGGGGCCTCAGATAACGAGTTCATCCTTGAACCGTGTTTAGTGTAAACAAGTGCTGGAGGAGAACACTTGAGGTACTTTACTTCAGCGTAGCATAATACAATTATAATACACAAATAAAAGGATGTGCGTCTGGAGAATTGATGGTGCAAATCTACAGAAGTAGGGAGTACACTGAAGAAATGAAAAACAAACATGTCGAAAACACAGAAGTTAGTATTAAGTCTTAAAACACATGAGCTCAACACATTTCCTCCCGTTAGTCATCTCAACACACATCTGGCCACAGGCTGAAGCCATGATGAGCTCGTGTAGCATTAAGATCTCTGTGGCTGCTTCCACGGACGTAGCAACGACAAAAATCAGACAATAAAATATCATTAAGATAAATATTTCCAACACTGCAACTTCCAGTGGCCATGTTTTTTTTTGTTTTTTAAAGGACCAGGTGGCATTTATCTATGCAATGACTTTACTCTCGGTGCTAAAGTGAGTTGTACGCTACGGCCCAAATGATCCACAAAGATGGTAGAAATGAGCCGTCAGCCTGCTTTGCATGTATGAAACCTTGCCTAATTGTTTTTTTCACAGTTGGCTAATACACATGAGGTCAACTCATGCTTCTGCTTGGCCAAAAGGACAGGAAACAACTCAGCTCAAAGCAGGAAGTGAAGATTGCAGAAGACTGTTTACTGCTGAGCACATTAAAACTTGGATAGCCTCGGCTTTGTCGCTGGCACACAGAAACACAACGCACACCGAAGACTTAAGACTATTTACAAGTTGGAAGGGAAACGTTGAGAGTGAGGAGAAGTAAAGACGTCGCTGCTGACAGTCTGTAGGGTTAACGTAATACTTGAATAATTAAGAGTTTGGTCGTGCGAGGCTGTTTTTTTTCTTCTCTCGGCTCCTTGTTGAGCCGGACTTAAGCTTCAGCATGTGACAGGAGATCTGTCAGAACTGGCATTCTTCATTAGACAGCGTACCAACCAAACATGCTGCATACGTTCATTATATGAACACATTTTGTTGTGCAGGTCTACGGCTACTATTGTGTGTTTGCAGCTTTAGTTGGATTTTAGAAATCACGGTCACAGAACATACCAGTTCTTTTACAGTGTTTGTCCTTCACTCAAAACGTAAAAATAAGTTGGCTCTACATGCATTTGGTCAAAGAAATAGTGTCCAACGTCAGCATGTCACCAAATGTATCCATCTAACTACAGCAGACACCATCAGCGGTGCACTTTCAGGTCTCTCTGGACTCTTTAACTGGCAGACACACACAGCATCACAAGGCTCTAAAGAGCCGAGGGAAGGCTTCACAGCGGCAGCAGACAGGAGATAAAAAGGCACTCTGTTCCCCGGGTCCAACAGACATGAGGGCTGTGCTCATCTGATTGCATGCAGCAGAGATGAGCTCTCACCTGTTCACATTCCCCACGAGAGGAAGCAAAGATGAGCGAGGGAGGGACGGACTGGGTTTGTGGGAACAGACCTAGAAAACACCCCGACTAGCACACATTAACTATTAATATCCACACACACACACACACACACACACACACACACACACACCTGACCGGCGGCGTAGTAATGGTTAAGTGACATCAATAATGAACGCACCATTTAAAGAAGGAGGAAGACGTGTCGGTGTCTGGCCATCAGAGGCTCTTTTGTTGTACCGAGACAGACCTGCACACATCATAAGCAGCCTGCGACGGATGCTTTGATGGCGTCCCTAATGGGCTCCGAAGACCTCCACAGGCAAGTGGGTCACGGAGAGACAGCGGCACACGGGTCACTGAAGGGAGGGGGGGGGGGGGGGGGGGGGGGG